TATGGTGTCAAGTTAGCACTACATACCATTTTTTCTTAAAAAACGAGAGCTACAAATTTTTTCTTTCCACAACAAATTTACAACAAAAACACTACAATTAGTGCCGTAGTTAACTTTTCCAATTTCGAAAAGTGTAGTGCTAACTTGACACACGTTGTGTATTATCCAGAAAAACTTTCGGAATAAAAAATATTAGGTCAAGTTTAACTGGTAAAAAAAAATAACTGTTATTTTCGGTCCCTGGAATATTATGCAAGTAACAAAAGAATGAGAATGAAGAATTCTTTGGAAAACAACGGTGTTTAAACAATGATCTTGCCATGATACTACATACGACATTTACAGACCGATGCAATTCCCAAAAAAGAATTATCACACCGCAATAAAAAATAAATAAATATAACTGAAAGTCCTCTCGACTGGTGCAGCGTCAATCGAGAAGAATTTACAATTTTGTCAAGTTTCAAGTTTTTCGCAGCGAGCGAGTAGTTATTTAGTGGCAGGTTTGATTTACGACCCTTTAAAAACATTTTATTAAATACAATGTTCCAATTTCTTAATTCAAGTACTAAAAAAAATCTATTAAAAATTACTAACCTTTGCATTTTTTATTTAACTAAATCACCTACTTTACTCACCTAAATTATTTCTTAACAAGTAAAAAAGTCTAAGTTCGGGCGGAGCCGAACATTAAATACCCGGCGCAAGTATTCAATATATTTTTTTCAACTTTCCGAAAACTACCGCTACATGGTAAGCGGTGGTGGTTTTACGTCTATTTCAAACATCTTCGATAGAACGTTCAGTTAGACATAATGAGATAAACTTATATAAATATATGTGGGCGGCATTACGCCCATTTTCCAAAATTCCATAATAATGTTACTTCTTTTCAAGGGATTGTGGTTAGTATCAATTTTGGGTAAAATGAGCGCTAAAAAAGGTGGTCGTAATTTTAGTCAGATTTCAATAACTTTCAACGTTTTGCCTTTATGGGACAACCACAATAATCATACCGAGTTTGGTACACATTGATCGAACGGTTACCGAGATACACATATGTGGTCTTAAGTTTTATTATAACAGGTCTATTCTGCGCTGGTAATAAAAAGTTTGTAACCGGTAATTAAAGTGTCTGTCAATTTTTAAACCCTTTTCGCATTCTGTGTACTCTTGTAACCATCTCATAAGCTGGTAACAAAGTATTACCCCGTGAAATATGCAATGCCAGAATTTGCACAATTCTTCATAGCTGAATATTTTAACTGCATTACCAACGTTCCTAGAATCGCGGTGACAAGAACTGGTAACATTTTTTGGTAATAAAATGTTCCGGTTACAAAATCTTCGGTAACGTGCAGAATATACCTGTAAGCGTACTTTTTGCTAAAGAATTA